TACACTTGTGAAAGCTTGAAATCTGACGATTCTAAAAATATATACTTTCCCGGGTCTATTTGTAGTCATTTAGTCACAATTAGAAGATGAAAACAAGTATGCAAATAATAGTCTCGCTACCTTAATGAAATTTACAAATGTCTAGGGATGAAGAAAGACCACAACAACAAATAAATCTAGTGATTATCACCAACATATTTCTAATTTAAATACTGAAACATACATTTATATAGTTCAAGCAACAACACACTTTATATCAAGAACATCTACTAAATATCATTCCAGCAATTTTTTTTACAATATATATGAATGGAAAAAGACAAGGGTAGAAGAGGAAAACATTTCTGAAATGATAAAACTACAAGAGATGAATCAATGACATGACATGCATTCTACAGTACTTAAACTGATGTCATTTTGGGACACGGATGCATGAGATAACACCAATTAGGCTGTACGTGTTTACAGTAATAGAGATAGTGGGGGTGGGGGTAGAAAGTAAAACTATTGTTATGAATGCTTGGATTATTATTGTGGGCTTCAGTAAGGCGAAAATATTTTTCTAAAAATATTACAAACACCTAAAAACAAGCGACCTGATGGTCAAAATAGCTCTGTCGTCCGTCCTACAAGAACATTGTTGTAGCCAAATTGAGCAACGCACATTCATACGACAAAACGCAGTTAACCTACAAACAAGTTTGGTTCTGGCTGTTGAGAACATGTCAACTTAACTTCATCAAACAAATTGTTTACAAAAATAATGTACACATCAAATATCAAATATCAATCGGGTTGGTGGTGTTACTGTAAATGAATTAATTATTCACTGAGTTTTAATTTTGCCAATAAGTGAAATTCCAAATAAACATGTAAAAATACAATACACTGATTGCAAGTTCATGAATTTGAAACCCAGTGAATATGCTTAGAATATTGAAAAAGATGAATTACTAATTTAACATCACTACCACCAGATGGCACTGTACACCATGGAAGATGAGGACACTCCTAAACAATCTTAAATACCTTGGAGAGCTGATGTAATATTTCAATACTTTAGACTGGGGGGGCAGAACTCAGAGACTTGCCTGGTATTCATATTTGAAAATTTTGTTTTAAAAAACCCTTTAAAATCATTTATGCATTCCAAAATTGTAACCTCTTTTTAGTGACTGATTTGTTTAAAAAGATATCTCTTGCAGTGAAAACGCAAATTCCACATATAGACAAATTGTGAATTTTACCCCCAAAAAACCTTAATTGTATAATTATCATATCATATCATACTTCTACGTTAACAAAAGAAAACCTTTTCACATGGTTTTGTTCTCAGACATGGGTACCCCAGCATATTTTTTTATTATTGTATTGCACTACATTCCTCTCTCCTTGCAGTGCTTAAAAACATAAACAGCGTGGTCGTCTAAATAAAGTTAATGTAAACATAAGTCAGACTGAGTTGAAATCATATGTGGATATGGTATTTAACGTTTAATGAGACAAACACTGGTACATGCACATCCATAGTCCGGTTTAGACTTACCACCCAGACTCTGTCTTAGTGCAGCGGTAGCTATATGTGTAGGCAAATGTTATAATACATCATTAACAAAAAACTCTGCTAGAAATTTGCATAAACTTAGTATACACAACACCTCCAAACAAAATAGTCCAAATAAATATTTAAAATTGTTTTAGTTCCAAGTACGTCAACATTCCTCTTATAATTACCAAAATAGTCAAATTGTTTTATTACTAAAATGGTCTATTTACTATATATTTTAATATAGTCTGAGTATGTCATCAAATTGGCCATTTTGTTTCATTCCAGTTCATAGCTACTAAAATAGTGACAATAACTGTTTGGTATATATTTAGTCTGAGTACGTCATCAAATCCATCATTTTGTTTCATTTCGGCAAGTTATTAGAACTAAAACAGTCCCAATATCTATGACATCACAAACTGACAGGTGAATGTTTGATATAATGATAATTGTAGCTGCTGTCTGTGTACATCATGAACAAACTTGAAACAAGTAAATGAGTAGCTGATGTACGTAAATGAATAGAATATTGCATACATCAGAAACAGTTCTCATCTATATCCCACATCTTCAAATGCAACACAATTCATTTAAACATCTAGAATGGAACAAACATGACAACATGATGGTCAACTCCGTTATTTTGTATTATCAAAATATAGAAGGACAATACATATCTTACCTTCTGTTGGTGAAAATAAAGTTTTTAAATGTTTGGAAAGTTCTTCATCATTAGTTTCTAGTAGCTTAGCAACAGAATCTGTGAAGTTCTGCATTCCTTCCTTGTAATCCTAATGAAATAAAAACAACATCTTTGTTTTATTTTGTTTGTTCATTCATTTATTGATTAAGCAATGCAGTAAGTATACGGTTATAAAACAAGAGAAGTGGCAAAACCTATATTAGACAGATTATCAAAGAAGACAGTGTTCACTGCTTATCATTAATCAATGTTACTATGATTTTTTCATGAAGAATGGAATGACACACAAAAACTTCATACTCTTTATCTTAGGATGCCATTCCCACTTAAACTGGGAATGCCGCAATTTTACTCGTAGTACTTTCTTCTACACAGGTGAAAGGGCAGATGACCATGGGAATCTCTCTGATGATGAGGTATACTAACTATTAACCTATACCGGTATATACAAATGTGTGATACCGGTAGTAGTCATTTAAATCCCAGACCATTTGACAAAATAAACTAAAATCAAAGAAAGCTTAGAAAGAACTCCCATGTGCTGAGAGTATTGGAGACACATTAAATATAATTTGAAATTACTTAGCTGAAAACTAATTATGCAAATCAGAAAATTAACATGAACAGATTTGATTGTAAAACTAATGAGGTCTGCGCAATGTAACAAAAACTCTATGTACCAAGTTTAATTGAAATGTGATTAGAACCAAAAAATTATGAATTATTATGCTAATTAGGGAAATAATATGAACAGAGTTTTACCCCAGATACCCGTGGAAAAGCTGAAAATTAACTAATTATGCAAATTAGGTTATTAATATACACAAATATTTATCCGAAACAATCAATCTCTGCATAGTCCTTGAGTATGTAAGTACCAAGTTTCATTGAAATGTAATGCTCACTGCTTATATCAAAAGCTGAAAATTAATTAAGTATGCAAATTAGGTAATTATATGTACTGATATTACCATAAAAACTATCAGGTCTGTGCAGTGTCATATGACATCTATGTACCAAGTTTCATTGAAATGTGATGATTAGTACTTGAGATATCAGTGGAAAAACCGAAAATTGACTAATCATTATGCAAATTAGGTAATTAGTATCCACGGATTATTACCAAAAACTAATCAAAACCTAGCATTAGTTCAGATCATGTATGTACAAAGTTTCATCAAAATCCAATGAGTGGTTGTTTAGATATCAGTGGAACAATCATGGAACAGCTAAAAATCAGCTAATTATCATGCAAATTAGGTAATTAATATGCACAGATTTTTACCAAAAACTAATCAAATCTGCGCATATGTTCAGAGCATCTATGTACCAAGTTTCATCAAAATCCAATGAGTGATTGTTTAGATATCAGTGGAACAATCATGGAACAGCTAAAAATCAGCTAATTATCATGCAAATTAGGTAATTATTATGCACAGATTTTTACCAAAAACTAATCAAATCTGCGCATTGGCCCAGAGCATCTATGCACCAAGTTTCATCAAAAACCGATGTATGGTTCTTGAGATAGCAGTGGAACAGTCGGACACACATACACACACACACAACACAGACACACTAACTGCAGACTCCCATTATGTGCTTCGCACATGGGAGTCAAAAAATGTGATTCACATTATCAAAATTTATAATACATATAGAAAATACATTTGATTTTTCATCCATGGTTTTTAGTCTAATTAGTTCCAGAGCAGATATCAGAAATGGGCTAAGAATAGATAATCAATATGCAGATTTATCACGTCTGTGGATTTCTTCAATGAATCAAATGAATTATTATACAAATTAAGCAATATTTATGTATAGATTTAGGTCTGTATTATGTTTCAGAGTGCACATGTACAAAGTTTCATTACAATGTGATGATTAATCCTAACTATATTAGTGTAAAGCTGAAAAGTAAATTATTATGCAAACAAGTCATTGTCAATGACACGTCCCCGTTCCGTTCATATTTGAGTGACATATACATTCAAAGCAGATCATGACCGAAATGCACCTGCATATGTACAACACATTGTGCTAAATCTGAACAAAATCCATCCATGCATGACTGAGATCCGGTTCTGGAATTGTGAAAATACGTGATTTTGATGCATTTTCGGCCTTAAAATGGCCATCATTCCGCTATTGTTAAGCAGATCATGAAACAAATGCACATATCTATTTGTGACATGATGTACCATGTGTGTGTGAAGTTTGAACTTGATCAATCCAGACATGTCTTGGATACGGATCCAGAACTGAATTCTTTAACAAAATGGCCGCCAGTCGGCCATTTCGAACTTGATCCGAAAAAAAAGACGTGCATCAAGGTCCTATTATGTTTAATGTATGTACCAAATTTGAACAAAATCCATCCATG